GCAGGTATCGAAAGATACGCTTGACCGCAACCCAGTGTTCCTCTTGGGGGTTCTCCATGAAGCGCGATACATAGCCAACGGCGTACGCGATGTCTGGGCGCGTGGCGGTCATCAGGTGCATCAGAGCACCAACAGCTTCGCGAAACGGAGCGTTCACCTTGGTCGCCGCGTCGCTTGGAACCAGTCGAGTGCTCATGTCCACCGGACTCACCACGGCCTTGCACTCGTCCATGGCGAAGCGCTTCAGGATGTCGTCCACGTATCGCCGCTGGCACATGGTCACGCTGCCGTCCGGGCCGTCCACCAACTCGATCCCAAGAACAAACGCGCACTTGCCGCTGTCGGTCATCTCGAAGCGCGTCTTCAGGTCGGTCTTCGTGCGTGCGATCAGCTCGGGCGAACTCCCGGTAATCAGTACGTCATCCACGTACACCAGTACAAGCACGCAGTGACCGTCCACCACCTTGATGTAGAGGCACGGATCGAAGGCCGACACTTGGAAGCCGATGGAGCACACGAACTCGTCGAAGGTCTCGTTCCACACTCGCGAAGCTTGCTTGAGACCGTAGATGGCCTTCACCAGTTCCAGGCAGTCGAAGTCACCATCCAGTTTGACGCCTTCCGGAACCACGCAGAAGACCACCTCCTTCATTATCCCGTACAGGAATGCTGTCACCACGTCGAGTTGGTCGAGGGGCCAGCCAAAATACTTAGCAATCGCGATCACCATGCGCAGCGTCACATACTTGACCACGGGCGAGAACGTCTCGGTGTAGTCAATGCCGTACTTCTGCTTGAAGCCCTTGGCCACGAGGCGCGCCTTGTACTTCTCGATCGAGCCGTCCGCTTTGCGCTTGATCTTGAACACCCACTTGGTATCGATGGCGCGTTGTCCGTTAGGCAACTTGGCAGCTCGAAACACACCACGCAGTCGCATCGACTTGAGCTCCGCGCGGATCGCTTTGCGCCAGTGCACTTGATCAGGACCGTTCACAGCCTCTTGGAACGTCGTCGGCTCCGATAGATCGGCTGCTGCTTCCACAGCGTTGGCACTGGCACGCCAAAACACTGGAGGCGTCGAGTCGTCGTCTTCATCTTGGTCCCCAGACTTTTCTTCTTCGTCGGGGTCGGCTCGGCGCGAGGAGGATACGTCCGGCGCACTTGCTTCTTCTAAGCCAGCTCGGTGGCGAACGGGGCGCGATCTTCTGGCAGTGTTGTCGTCGCCACTCGGTCGGTACTTGCGCTTCCCCGCCTGCTTGAAGCTCGTTTGGCGCGGTCCATCGTTGTCGTCCAGGTCCAGCGCGTCCAAGTCCAGCACAGCATCATCGACGTCTTCATCCGAAGTATGCGTCGAAAGTCCAAAGGTCGACTCATCGAAGTTGACATCGCGACTGATAACCACCTGCCCCGCCTCGATGTCATAAACTCGATACGCCTTGGACACTTCTTCGTAGCCGAGGAACAGCCCGGCGCGAGCCTTGGGGTCCCACTTGCGCCGTCTTTCCTTCGGCGTCAGGATGTACGTCTGGCATCCGAACACACGCATGTGCTTCACACTCGGCTTGGACTTGTAAACGATCTCGAACGGAGTCTTGTGTTCGATCTTGGGTGATGGCAGACGATTCTTCACGTAGATGGCTGTCATGGCCGCCTCAGCCCAGAAGCTCTTGTCCAGCTTGGCGTGATGCAGCATGCTGCGGCCAATCGTGACGATGGTCCGGATGGCGCGTTCTGCCGTGCCGTTGGTCTGGTGCGCGTACGGAACCGTGGTTTGCTGCTCGATGCCTTCGACTTCGTAGAAGGCCTTGAGCGAGTTGGTCGCGAACTCACGGGCTCCGTCGTGCCGCACAAACTTGACCTTCTTGCCGAACTGCGTCTGCACCTTCGTGACGTACATCTTGATGCAGTCCTCGCTCTCCGACTTGGCACGCAGGCAGAACCCCTTCATGCATCCGCTGGCTTCGTCCACGATCAGCAGCAGATACTTGCTGCCACCCAGTGACTCTTCTTCCATGGGGCCGCACACGTCGAAGTGGAGCAGCTCGAACGTGTCGTAGTGACGCTTGTCACGGTTGCTTGGGAACGGCTTCTGGACCATTTTCCCTTGCTGGCAGCCGCGACACACGCTTGGTCCACTCGACTTGGAAGGTGCCTTCGCGTCCTTGATCATGTTGTTGTCGACCATCTTGCGAAGCACCTCCACCGGAGCGTGACCCATACGCGCGTGTAAGTCGACCGTCTTCCCACTGGTCGCCGCATTCGCCGATCGCTGAGGCGTCTGGAGCCAGTAGAGTCCATCCACGAGGTTTGCCGTCGCCACCACTTGCTTGGAGCCCTTGTGCGCAATCTGCATCTTGGTGCTGTCGAACACGACTTGGAACAGACCACTCTTGTTGATCTGTGGCACCGAAAGCAGATTCTTGCTCATGCTTGGGACGTACAGCGCGTTCTTGATCTCGATGTCGCGCTCGTCGCCGTTGGGCAGAACCACTCGTTCCACGATGGTCCCCACACCCATGATGGCCGCCTTGTTGCCGTCGGCCACCGAAAGTTCGCCTTCATTCCGCTCAATCAAATGAGCGAACTTGGCCTTGTCGTTGCAGATGTGGTGCGTTGCGCCGCTGTCAACCGCCCACAACCCGGACACATTCTTGCCCGTCGAAATGCCACACTCCAGTGAGACCGCGAACGCCACTCGATCATAGCCGTAGTCGTAGTTGTAGCTGGCGTCGTCGTTCCTCCACTGGGCATTGTTGGCCCCGCGTCCACGGCCATTGCCATTGCCGCCGCGTCTTGGGCCCCGATTCTCGTCCTTCTGCTTGGTCCAGCACTTGTCAATCGTGTGCCCCAATTTCCCGCAGTTCGTACACTGGCGAGACTCTCGGTCGGTGTTGAACGCCTTGGCCGCATTCTCCGTCTTCACCGTCGCCATCTTCTCGCCTTGTCTCTTGATGTGCTCATTCGTCAGCACCTTCACGACGTCTTGCGATCGTAGTTCAGCGCTGCTCATCTCCAAGTTCAGCACGACGTTCTCGTAGCTCTTGGGGAGGCTGCGCAACAGGCAGATCGCCACGTCCTCATCCTCCATCTTGGCGCCGATGCTGCTGAGCTTGGCGCTGATGTTGAGGACCTCGTTGCAATGATGCAAGACGTTGCCGCCATCCGACATCTCCATGCTGAAGAGTTGGCGCTTCAGGTAGATGCGTCCAGCCTTCTGCGAACCACCGTACAGCGTCTTCAGGCGCGTCCACGCAACCCACGCTTCCTCGCAGTCGTCGACCACATGGTGGTAGTCCGCGTCCATGTGGAGCAACATCAGTCCGAACGCGATGTTGCTCGACTTGACGTAGTCGTCCTTGGCCCGCGAGTCCGTGAAGCTCGGCGTCGTCTCGCGGTTCACGACATGCCACGTCGACTTGGTCAGGAACACGCCACGCACGTAGCGGTTCCACGTCGCGTAGTTGTCCCCGTTGAACTTGTCAATGGAGACCTTGGTCGAGGCGTCTTGGGCAGAGGACATGGTGCTTGGGCTCATAACCTGATGGAAAGTATGGATCTTGGACACGAAGCTCGGACGAAGCGGAGGGAGGGACGTCGCAGATGGCGGGACCGGAGCGAAGGCACTTGAGGGGTAGAATGAAGATTCGAAAGTGATTGAATTGTTGGAGCTTACACCCTACTGTTATAGACACGCGACCCTGCGTCCTATCACCTAGTGCATCTAATCAACCATCACTCACCGGTGTTCATCCAATCATCCTACTCGTCTAATCATCGGTGGCGTAAACAACTTACCGTATTCACCATAATCAACGTGGGTTCGGATTGGACCGGTTCGGGTTAACCGGTTAATGGGTACAACTGGTACACAGTACCCAAGACCAGCAACCCTCAATAAGATGCTTAATCAGTTCTATGGACCTCTCCTGTGAGACGGTCAATCTCCGGCGACCCGTAAAAGCCCGCGAGGGCCGTCGTCCATCCTTTGGCGGAGGGCACGGGATTTCTAATTCCGGAGTCAGGTAACTCAGCTGGCTTCCGTGATTGACTGGCTTGGGGTACTTGGTCTCGGCGAGGACGAGACATCACTGTCCCGGAAGGGCCGAACCGCTGGGGGACATCTCAGCGCAGGCCAACAAGGGCCGACTAGCTCGGCTGTTGTTGTGTTTGTAGCTAGGGTGCCACATCTGACGATTTTGTGCGTGCTACTACACCACACAATCCATCGACTCCCGGAGTAGACGGCGTTACGTCACCTTGGCTCTTATTATTGGCCAAAACGGATCCAATCAAATTTGCGTCAGCCTCCACGGCTGAGGCGTGAAACTCGCCTGCATCATCCGTGCCCCATGAGGCCGGAGACTCTTCCAGATTCGCTGAAAAGCGGGTGTCAGCCTCCGAGATCAACACATTTTCTCCTTCAGCCGTCGGCGGCGACGCCGACGCTTGCTGCTCTTGCCCGCGTGCTCGCGCGCACCCAGGGCGCTCCGGGACAGCGGCATTAGGCGCTGGCTCGAGTGGGGAGTCGCGCGCACCTGTCGATGCGTGCGTAGCGGCAACAGGGCCATCGCTCACTGTTCCGCTGTCGCGACCGAAGCGCACGAGGGTGCGCTTCTCCCAATCGATGCCCGGATCATGCCGTGCAAGCCATGGCATGCCCAATACAATGTCAAACTTATCGTCCAGATCCAGGACGGTAAAGGTCTCGACAAACTCTTGATCTTCATACGTGAAGCGCACGCGTACCATGCGCTTCTCGGTCTTCACGACGGCACCCGTTGCCAGTCGTACCTTCAACATACTTCGAGATATCTTTAAATCCTCGAAGTCAAGCCTTGATAGACTTCGCAGTCGAACAAAGTTCTCCGACGCGCCAGAATCTACCAAAGCACGGAGAGAGCCGCTTGCTCTCATCGAGTTCACATTCAGGATGACAAGGTCAGGCTTGTCATCTTGGTTCTTGCAGTGAGAATGAACCTCACTGGGGGCTGCAGTCCTTAGTGTCGCGTGTCCAAGGTCGACACGCGGAACTGCATTACCAGTAGGGCGCCCCGCGCCTACTGGCGTCCAGCGTTTTTTGTTTGGTTGCGACGGTGCCCGGCACCGCCGCGATAGCCACCCTGCTGGTGCACGGGAGCCGTGCACTCCCGAGCAAAGTGACCGACTCTACCGCAACGGTAGCATCGCACATTGTTTCCCTGCGACTGCTGGGGCCCAGCAGTTGCAGCACTCGAGAGGTCCATGGGTTCTGGGCCTCCCGTCCTCACTACCGGGCGTGGCTGTGGCCTCGGCACATGTGCATGCAGCTTAGCCTGCCGCAGGCTAAACTCCTCCTGCATTGCAAGAGTAATTGCAGCTTCGAGAGTACTCGGGTACTCACGGAAGAGATAGGTCTTCACAGGCCCATCTCTCAGCCCCTTCATGAACGTGACGACCTTGGTCGCCTCGTCGATCGGATTGGTCACGATGTTCGAGACCAAGTACCGTGCTCTCTGAGCGTAAGCATGGACATCATGCTTGCCCTGCTGCAGGTCGAGGAACTCCGCCCTCGACCGGAACTCGTTTCGCGGTGGCTCAAACGCTTGCCTGAGCTCCTCCTTGAAACCCTCGTACGTGCTGAAGCACGTAGGATCAGAGACTCGGCGTCCATACGCCCAACTTCTCGCTCGTCCGCCAAGACATGACATGGCGAACGTGACCTTCGACAACGGGTCGACGATGCGTCGAGCCGCAATGGCAGTGTCAAGTTCGACAAGCCAACGGAGGAGAGGCTCGCCCTCTCTTCCAACGTAATTGCTCACGCTGAGCTTCAGCGATTGCGCGCGCGGTGTCGTCCCCGACGACACCGTGGTAGACGAAGCAGCATCTCGCTGCTCCCTCATGATGAATCCCAGAGCAACACCATGTTGCTCTGTCGGCGTTAGCGTACGCAGCATCGTAGCTACAGCCGCCTCACCAATTACTGTTGACAGTCGTTGGAGAGCTTCCCACTCTGGGTCCGACAGGTGGGGACAGTCAGCGCGTGCAACGTGAGTTGCAGGCGTAGTGGAGTTTTCCATGGGCACCTCTGTATCCATGGGAAGGTTCTCAGTTCCGCGTTCGTGCGATGACGTACGAACTCAGGTAGTCGGTCGTTGGACGGACTACGAAGTGCTACCAGGTGTAGTGGGCCTACTTTGGCTCACTACTTTAGCTTACACCTGTGCGCGTGTATGTGAGGAAGCGTCGCTTAGTTTAACTAGAGTTAATTATACTCGGGCCTCCGAGTATAGATTAATCTAAATAAACGATCCAAATAATGTTTTTGGGTTAAAATGAGAACTGCTATTTTTGTTTTATGTTTCTGACTTCCTCTAAATGTAATATTCTAAGATAGGAATCTGCCAACGGCTGGTTGGCAGAATTCCAATGCTATGCATGTCGCTCATTGGCTAAGAGATGCTGCTCTCAGCCAATAAGAATCATAAGTCTCTATGGACCACCCGCCGTGGTGGTCGTAAATGTATGTAGCCTTTGGTGTGTCTACACCAAGGTCGAGAAAGTATTTCGAACCTCTAACAGACGTCGTGTCTGTTAGAGTTACAAGTGACTGTAGCCACTTGTGTGTGTAACCCTGTTACACCATCCCCCCCTCAAGGTTAGACGCGCCGAGTCACGGCACGTCAATCAGGAAATTGACCATTCGTCAATTCTTCACGTTGGGAGAAAGAAAACTCGAGCTCATTCCGCAATGAGCTCGCCTCAGAAGAAGACCGACGCTGCAGCAGAGGGGAAGTCCTCCGCCGGGATAGATACTCTCTCTATCCCCGAGTACCGCGAGCGTCTCAAAGCAAAGCGTGACGCTCTTGCTACCAAGGCTGCGGCGGGGACAACTTAACCAGAGATTGTCCTCGAAGGTTCTTCCGTAGTCAGCGACGCCGTTGACTACGAAGACGACGACGTGGAGATGGAAGAGGGCGAGGCCTCTTCTAGCAAGCGCAAGGAGTCTATCGACAGTGATAGTCTCGACCCGCATGCCGGGTCGAGACGCCCTCGTGAAGGAGACAACTCGGACGCTTCGAGCTCGAAGCGTTCGCGCGGCGAGAGCGACACTCCGCTCTCTGCTGCTGGGGCTTTACGCTTCCCGCGTGAGGTGGCGCCTTCAAGCCCTCCGCGCGCTGCTCAGGCAGCGCGCGATCCGTGGATGCCGTCTGCGTCAGAGATCGCAGACCGTGTGGGCAACACTGTGCCTCCAAACGAAATCCCGCTGTACGTATGCAGCGGTATCCACGACGATGCTGTTGCGGAGGAGCAGCACTCTGATCCGTTAACGAATCAAAGGCGCGATTATTACATCGGGCTCTTCCACGAGCTCCGATACTTCTCCAGCAAGAAGACATCTTGAACTTCAACAAGAAGCCGGCCGCTTACCGTGAGCGGGTTAAGCATGCCCGTGAGCGCTTCGAGACATTCTCGACGCGCGGGAGGCTGGAGCAGCTCCACAGTTCCTCTGTGGACGCTGGTATTCCGTGCGCTGTGCCCGAAGGCCATCAGTGCACGTTGTGTCTTCCGGGTGCGGCGCGCTTGAGCGACCGCGACCTAAACGGGTACACGACGATTCGTGTACCTGCGAGTCTCAAGGATCTACGTGCCAAGTTCTTGGCACGCGAGGAACGCGACGATCGTGGGACTTCGGGCGCTGTAGGTGACCACAGCGCTCGCACTACCTTCGCGTCGGCAGTGCGTGGTGAGCTTCGTACGCCCTCACCATTTCCGGAACGTCCTACAGCAGGACGTCCCGTGGCTCCCATGTATCTTGGTGGGGCGGAAACCCTCTCTAACGAATACGATAACGAACCGGCTGCCGGTTCGTTTTCGGGATACTATGGTTCACAATACGCTCAACAATCCAGCGTGTTGAGCCGCGGGCGTCGCGGATCGGAGGCGGCGGTGGTGGGAACACGCCCCGGGTATGGTCAACCTGGGGTTGACCTTGGTCCGACGCTCGAGGAGCGGGTCGCTGCTGTGGAACAGCATCAGAGCCGGGAGTTCGCCGCTCTGAAGCAGGAGGTGGCGATCCTGAGGGATCAAGTCGCTCAGGCCTCGCAGACCGCGTTGGACATCTCTGTCGACGTGGGAGGTCGCGTCGCACGCTTGGCCGAGCGCGACTTTGCGCTGGAGAGGATGATGGCTTCCGCCGAGTCTTCTGCTTCGGTTCAGCCGAGCTACGTAGTTCGTGCTGCAGGTATGGCTTCAGCCGCCCGACGTAGAACGTCGGATGGAGGCGCATACTAGACGGTATGTCCAGTGTGTAGGCGTTGCCGTGCCGTGCCAGCACAGTGAACGGTCCGATGAAGCGCGGAGCGAGCTTGCTCGCCCCGAAGTCGGAAACTGCATGTTTATGCAGGTTTTGAGTAGCTAACAAAACCAATGAACCCTTCTTGAATTAATTTGTGTTGCCCCTACCAACATTGTCTGTGTTCAGCTTCTGTCGATGAACAGAAGCTGCAATAGCGTCTTGGACAAACCGAATGACGGCTTGTCTGCGCTGCACGAAGTTGATTGCGTCCGAGTTGAACGAGTTCAGCTCGTTTCTAGCAGTAGGCCCGGCCTCTGCGTTCATCTTCGCGGTGTCTGTGCCCTGCACAGACCCGTTTGTGGTGTAGCGGGATCGGCCAAAATCTGGTTAAGGCCTGATCGAGCTTCCCACCAGCGCCCAGACACCGACTAACGGAGGGGGTCCCCCAACGATCCGTGATCGGCTGAACTTGTTCTCACCTTGTCTACCCGTCGACGGGCTGGATCTGCTCTCTCGGGGCTCCGAAGATGCAGCACTTGGTGAAGATCGAGTGTCTTGGCGTGACGCGGGGATAGTTTGTGGAGCAGCGCGGTAGTCTTCGCTCTGCGTCCGAGTATACGCTCCGATCGAGGGTTCTTCGCTTCGATCGGTCGGCCTGGAGTTGATCCAAGGCCTGTAGTTGCCTTTCCGGGTGTGTTCCTTCCTTTCCTGAGTTGCTTGCCGCTTCCTATAGCGGGATCGAGGTCGATTGAGAGACGCAGCGATCGCCGGCCAAGCAGTATCCGGTCGATCGAGGACTTGCACACGAGAGAAAGATCACTAGAGTAGGTCAAGCTGGCCAATGTATTAATCCAGTCTTAACCACCGTACCGCTAGTTCACTACCCGAAGTGTCAACGCTTGCCGAGGCCAATGTAGCTCCTGGGACTTGACGACTTGAGGGCACTTGTGGTCTTCTGTGCAAATTGCGTTCTGATTTATGTTTAGCTGGTCTCTCTCTACCGCTGCCATCTCATCTACCATCCTACAACCAAACGATTACTGGATTCTTGCCCTGGCTTCGCCCCCATGTGCTTCCCATCCGGGTCGATCGGCGATCCACGATCGGCTCCCGATCCACGATCGATCCCGATCGGCGATCAACTCCCGATCGATGACCTGTGCGAGTTGCCGTGCGCTGCCGATCCGTCCTCTTCTGTCCTCGGCCGCCCTAGATCTGCGAGATTGGTCATCGATCCGGGCTTGGTTCTACGTCGAATCACGCCGCAGTCCAAGCGCGATCGCCCGTAATCTGTCTTGACATATGTGTTGCCTTACGCGTCCACGTTATCCAATCGCTTGAGATCTCTCGATAGACCCTCTTGATCCGCGACCTCAGCCTGATCCCTGCCTATCGTTCTGCCACCATGTCGCTTGATGTCATCGCAGTTGGAAATTCTTGTTCGGTGCTTCACCACACGTTCTTCTTCTTCTCCTTGCTCTTGTCGGCGTCTGTGCCCTGCACAGACGCGCGGTTCTCGGCTTTGCTTCGTGCCGTTGCGGCTGACACTGTGCAAGTGTCAGCGGCATTCCGCGGCTGCTGCGTTGCAGTCGTAGATCCTCCCCCACTTAGGGAAGGAGCCACCATCCCGAGTAGACTCGGGGGGCGTGGGTGCCTGATGGTATTCACGTAGAACGGTGTATGCCCGGTCGAGGCATGCAACGAGTTGTTGATGGCAAACTCCGCCGTCGGCAGACACTCGCTCCAGTGTTGGAACGAGTGAGCGTAGCTCTTAAGCACGTCTACGAGCACGCGGTTCACGCGCTCGGTCTGCCCTTCCGTCTGCGGATGATTCGCATCCGACATCGAAAGTTGGCTCCCAAGAAGTGTAAACACTTCTTGCCAAAGGTGTGCAGTGAAGCGCGGGTCTCGATCCGACACAATGTCGATCGGCATGCCATGGGGTTTGAACACCATGTCAACGAACAGACGCGCCGTCTGTTTTGCAGTCACTTCAGCGGGTACTGCAGCAAGATGTACCATTGCGAAGTCGGATGCGTCACACACCACGTGGAACGGGCGATCTTGGTCGGCCACCGCCAAGATCAGCGCCTCAGTCAAGCCCCGCTTGACTGCATCGAGGGCCTGCTGACACTCAGCAGTCCAAACCCACTCGGCGTCCTTCTTCAGGAGCTGTGACAGCGGGCGTATCATGCCCGCGTAGTCCTTCACGTACTTGCACAAGTACGTGGCCAAGCCAAGGAACTGCCACAGTTCCTTGACGTTCGACGGTGTCGGCCACTCATTGATCACTCTGACCTTCTCAGGGTCAGGGCGGACACCGTTCTTCCCAACGAGACACCCGAGCACGGGTATCTCGCTCGCCCCGAAGAGGCACTTCTTCAGCTTCGCATAGAGCTTGTGGTTGCGCATGAGCGCAAACAGCTTCCGGAGATGCACCTTGTGCATCTCAACATCGCTCATCCCGTCCGCAGCCCGGCTGTGGACGAACACATCGTCGAAGTAGATCGGTGCGAAGTCGCGCACCGAGCGCAAAAGTGCGTCACGCACCTGTTGAAGGTCGCAGGGGCGTTCTTCAGCCCTTGCGGCATCACCAGCCACTCCCAGAACATGCCGCTCGGCGTGCTCACTGCCGTGAGAGGGATATCGCTCTCACGCATGAGGATCTGATAGAACCCATCGCGCAGATCAAGAGCACTGTAGATAGTGCTCCTGGCCATCGAATCGATGATGACATCTTTTCGCGGTATCGGTGTCTGCGCCGGTATCGTCGCATCGTTCAGCTTGTTGTATGCATGAACGATGCGCCAGCCGCCCTGTGGCTTCTTGACACAGAACGTCGGAGCACTGTGCGGGGACTTCGATTCCCGCACTTGTCCAGCTTTGCGACGATTCTCAAAGAAGTCGTCGATCGCCTTGACCTGCTCTCGCGGCAGTGGCCACTGCCGCGTGACACAGTACTTCGTGCCCGGCACGAGATCAATCTCGTGCTGAATTCCCATGTCCTGCGGAAGCTCCGCAGGGATCTCTTCCGGAAGTACGTCCGCGTACTCCCGTAAGACCTCGTAGTAGGGACTCGTCTTCAACGAGTCCCAGCTTTGCTCTTCAAAGCGCTCCTTCTTCGTCTTCGCACTGAGAGTGTCTTCGCTCTCAGTGGTGTTCTCCATGAAGAACTGCCTCAGTTCTTCATTCTCGCTCTTCGTTCTCTCGGCGTCCGAGAGAATGCATATCTGCTCGATGCGTTCATCGTGCAAGTCACGCGCGAAGCGCTTCCAGCTCATGACTGGAAGCGAAGTCAACTCCGACGCTTGCGTCGGAGGGTTAGCGAGAGTCATCTCCCTGTACCGGAACCCGGCGCAGGTACGCGTCAAGACGTTCAACGTCTCGACGTCCGGCTTCTCAGCCTCCGTCTGCCCGGTAGACATTCCTTGTAGCGTCTCGGCCCCAGGCCGAGACTTGCGCAGCGACCTTCGCATGCGCCGTCTTCTTATCCTGCGGAGCCCGGCTCCGCAAGACTCTTGACCTCGTCCAGGCCCAGCCGTGGACGGGTGTTCTTCTTCAGTACCGCCGGCCGGTTTATCCCGCGGGCGAGCGACTTCAAGCCCGGCTTGGTCGCCCGGCGCTTCGTCGTGCAGCCCGGCTGAACGACAGCATGCAAGTTTTTCCGGTGCGGAATGTTTGCAACCGTCCGCACCGCCTGCAGCGTCGACATGCTATTTTCACCTCGACGCCTGTTATTGGCGGAGACCCCCATTACGGAGGGTGCGTCGGCTCCCCGAGCCGACGAAGTAAATTCACCCAAGTGTGGTGTAGGGAACATCAAGTTTTGTGTCACACTCCAAGGCCGCAGTGGAACAACGTACCAGGAGCCAAGTTCTACTCGGCGGGATGACCGTCAGCCGAGCTCAGTGGGCAAGAATGCGCTGATGGACCGCTGAACTCGGCTGATGGTGTCAGAAACTCAAGGCACACCGGCCCCGACCTGGTGACACGTGGCAGACCCAGTGATGAAGACCCAGCCGAGTTCAGGAAGGCACTGGACACGCTCAGCCGAGATCATGGGGAGTTCAAGCCGCCGAGCTCGGCTAAACGGCACCACGTGCCATCCAGATACGGTAACCGGGTCCAATTGAGTCCGGGAGTCGCCCAGTCGAGTCCTAGGGTCGCTCCGCCGAGTTCGTCGTGTTATCCGGACACCTTATCCGGCTCCGCCGAGTTCACTGGGTTATCCGGACATCTTAGTCGGCTCAGCCGAGTTCGCCAGGTTATCCGGACACGCCGTATCCGGCTCAGCCGAGTTCAAGGGGTTATCCGGACAGGTTATCCGGTATAGCCGAGCTTAAGCGTCGCCGAGCTCGGTGAAGAGTCGGCCGAGATCCAAAACCGCCCACTTTCTTTTGGTATTTGTATAGGAGCTTAGGAATAGTGGAGGCGCCCCTTCAGGGCGCCCGACAGAGATAACAACCAAACAGAGCAGAATTTTCTAGGTCCACAACACGTGCACGCGCTTCCAGTAAGCCCCTGCATGGGCCGGATTATGTCTGCTGTCAGCACCCGAGAGGCATAGCTTGTAGGGTGTTGACTGGTAGCGCCAAGAGATTAAGGTCGGCCCGGGTTGGGCGCGTGTCTCGCCAAGCGCGAAGGAAAAGTCTCGCCACCGCTGCGAGCCGGTGTTCCCGTACGTCCCGGGCACTGATTGCTGAGTCGAGAAGCCTTTGCTCTCGGCGACCCGTAAAAGCCCGCGAGGGCCGTCGTCCATCCTTTGGCGGAGGGCACGGGATTTCTAATTCCGGAGTCAGGTAACTCAGCTGGCTTCCGTGATTGACTGGCTTGGGGTACTTGGTCTCGGCGAGGACGAGACATCACTGTCCCGGAAGGGCCGAACCGCTGGGGGACATCTCAGCGCAGGCCAACAAGGGCCGACTAGCTCGGCTGTTGTTGTGTTTGTAGCTAGGGTGCCACATCTGACGATTTTGTGCGTGCTACTACACCACAC